AGTGACCGCGGGACTCTATTTTCCGACGGACCGATCAAGCGTCAAGTGAAGAAGAAGAACTACAACGTGAAACGAATAATGATAAAACAATTAATTACTTTTACTTATGTTTCCAACTTCTCTGTTCCTTTACTTTTTGTGTTGTAGTTCTTCTTCTTCACTTGCCGCTTGATCATTCCGTCGGAAAATAGAGTCCCGCGGTCACTTCCGTTGTGACTTTTTGATGTGTTGTGGCTTTTTAATGTGTTGGGGCATTTTTGTTTGTGTTGTGGCGTTTGTATTTGTTGCAGCGTTTGCATTAAAATAGAGTCCCGCGGTCATTTTCGTTGTGGCTTTTTGTTAATGTATTTAAAATGATAAAAATTTGCTTGGAAGGACTGACATATTTTATAGAAATAGTTGCCTTTCATTTTGAAATATTAAAGTATTTCGGAAGAAAAAAGTTGACAAATTATGCAAAATCATGCACCTTCTACTTGTTTGCACAATTTTCCCTCCGTTACTTTTCCCTCCGTTACCATGACCTTTCTTAATAAAAAATCTCATGACTCAAAAAGTAAGAGGTTTTTCAACCTAATCTTGTACCATATGGTAGAAAACTATATGAAGCAAATATTCAAACCAGTTTGTTAAGGATATGTAAGTGAGAACCACTAGTTATCACTGTTTGGATTTATTGCCCAAAAAGTGCTGCATATTTCATTCCCTCCGTTATCGACATGAGTTTTAAAATTTTTTGTCAACAACTTGAAAGAATATCACAGGTTTAACTTTACCCTGTTGGAGTGTTAACTCTTTCCTACATTCTGATACTTTACTTATTTCAATAGTCCCTCTAGTTTCTGAATAAGGAACATTTGAATGTAAAAAATCTGCCTGACCGGACCCAAATGTAATGCTATACTGTGGGACATTCCTGACAAAGCAGTAACATCTGCAGAGACACAAGCAGAAATGATACAGTGGATCTTTATATGTGAATGAAATAATAACTCCAAACCATCCATCAGTGCAGCAGCTATGGATTCTCGTCAGGAGTACCTAGCTGGAGGATTAGCCTTGGAGCCACTCTGCCATCACGCCACATGCCTAGCAACCAGAGCGGCCAAATTCTCATACCGGCTGCCACTCCTCCTATAAGCGAGTGCCCAGCACAAACATTCCCTCTCCCCTCTCCCTCTGCCAGCCTCGTCCCAGGGCGCTCCCACAGCTCAGCGCCAGCCAGACGGGGCTCGTAAGAGTAATGACCCGTGCCTCGGACCGTTTCAGGCCCCCGCTCTCATTTGGAGGGCTGTCAGGTCGGCCCGTGCCAGCTGACTCCGATCCTCCGGCGAGTGTGCTCCGTGTGCCCACCAAATGTCCGCCGCCACTAACCCGAGCGGAGGCAGCCGGGCGCGGGCAGAGCGGGGCCAGCCGGAGGGGAGGGGGCGGGGGCGGGGACGGGGCCAGAGCATCGATGTCCGCCGTAAACAATCCAATTAGAGCCCTCAGCAGCATCTGCGAGAGAGAAGTAATTCCGGACATGGTCAGAGATATTAAACGGTAAATGGGAAGTGCACTGTAAAAAAAAAAAAAAGTCAATAATGTTTTATGAAATGTTAAATAAGCGCTCAGATTTTTATGTTCTCAAACTTTTACTGAGCTATAGTTTTATGACATTTCATTTGTGTTTAGGCCTTGATTGTTTGATTTTAAAGGTGCACCATATCGCCACCTGCTTGACTCCATGGCGATGACAACTTCCAGCGGGCCCTTGTTGGTAATAAGTCTGACAAAATCTAGGAAAAATTTGAAAATGTCCTAGTTTTTTCTTCATCTCCATGTCATTGTAGCGTTCCGTTATGTTCGTCTAATCAACAATTACAACCATATCTCAGACATCTTAGTTTGGGTTGGTTGGCAATAATACAATTTTGAAACGAGTGCGTAATAAAGAAAAATTGTTATACACTCTGCACAGTTAGCCAGTCTGGCGCCACCTAGTGCCTCTGCTCAATTTCATTTCTCTCCAGCGACTAGGTCAGGAATCAAAATACAGTAGATGGTTCGCAAAAACACCAGAAGTGTGAGTTCAGCGAAGAGCCATATATTCAGTGTTGTCAACGATTCCCGAGATCGAGGATTTAAAGCCGGAATAAAGAGAATGTTTGGTGAATTTTATCAAGGGGAAAGACGTTATTGTCCTTCTTCCTAAGGGATTTGGGAAAAGCTTAATATAGCAGTTATCCTCGTTAGCGACGCATTACATACGTCATGACCAAATAGTAGCGATTGGTTAAAAAGTACCCGCCTACCGCCAAGCGAACAAATTCTAACACTGCGAGGTCAGATACTTTCTATGAAGTGAAACCGGCTGATGAATCAGGCTACACTAATGTGAGTCAGTATAATCACATTTTCTTTGGGTTTTGGTCATTTTTAAAGCAGCTTTTCTGTATTTCACCTACACAATTGACAATTTATGCGTCTTTTTACTCTTGGTAGGTATCAAATTTGTCAAAATAGGGAAATTTCTTGTGTCAGACTGGGACAAATCACTGGTTTTGTATAAATCTGGGCTCAAAACTGTGCCTGTCCCTGATAAATAGGCACGCCTGGTCACCCAGATCTTAATCACAACTCGACCTGTGTTTAACAGGTCGAGTTGTGATTAAGATCTTGTGATTTTACTTGTATAGGGTGACCAGATTTTCAAAATAAACAACTTGGACATCCCTGGTTTGTGGTGGTTGGTAATAATAAAATTGTAAAAGGAGTGTGTAATTAAGGAGATTTGTTCTGCACGCTGCACTAATGTGAGTCAGTCTAGTCACATTTTCTTTGTGTTTAGGGCATTTTAAGCAGCTTTTCTGTATTTTAGCTACACAAGTGATAATTTATTAGGGGTGTGCATTGCTTTGAGTCAATGCATATCATGATTCACATGCCACGATTCAATATATCACGATATATCCCGATACTAAAACAATATTGCAGTTTATCAATAATTACTTGTAATAATACAGTCAACTACACCGTCAAGAGAACACAATTGTATGAAATATAATTTATAAACTTTTTTCAATCATGAGAAAACAGTGAATGTAACTAATTAATTTTTGTGAAAAATATTATTTGAAAAAAGCAATTCAGATCCATTTTGAATTGATTTGAGAATTGTGCAATGAAGTATCACGATATATCACTGAATCAGTTTTTTTCTTACACCCCTATAATTTATGCCTCTTTTTACTATTGGCAGGGGTCAAATTTGTCAAAAATAGGGACACCTGGGACATTTCTTGTATTAAACTGGGACAAATCACTGGTTTTGGATAAATTTGTTGGGACAGGGGACACAGGGCTCAAAGCTGGGACTGTCCCGGGTAAATAGGGACGTCTGGTCAGCCTAAACCAGGGGTCTCCAACCTGTAACTCGAGAGCTACTGGTAGCTCTCCACCCCCTTCCCAGTAGCTCGCCATGGGATTTCTAAATTACACGTATTGTGCTGAATAAGTAAAATTTGATTAATTAAATGCATTTTACCATTGTACATGTATCATTTTGATGCCTAACTTTGTACACTAATAAATGCATAATGGTTTATGTTTTATAGTAAGTAAGTAAGTAAACCTTTATTTATGTTGCACCTTTCACAGATAATTAAAAAAAATCACAAAGTGCTTTGAAGTGCAATGAACAACATGAACAAGAACACGGGAATTACACAGTCAACTAAAAGCATGTCTAAAAAGCAGTGTGGCTTTTTAAAAGAGTCTATAGACTCTTAAACCAGAATATAGAGCTAGGGGCAGGACATTCCATAATTTGGGAGCCACAGCCTAAAATGCACATGTCACCCTGAGTTTTAAAGCGGGTCTTTGGGATCATCAAAAGGCACTGACCTGAGGACCGGGGGGTGCAGCCTCAGGTGTAGGGGAGCAGTAAGTCAACATGGAACTTAACAGGAAGCCAGTGCAGTGAAGATAAAATTGGTATAGGTATTTATAGGAATCTAACTGTACCCAAAGGCTCACTGTGTGTCATGACTGGTGCTCCCCTCCCTCCTTTCCCCTGTGTGTGCCTGTGCGGGTGAGGGTGCGTGCGCGGGTGGGCGGAGTCTTCTGGGATCTCTAATTCTCCTCACTTGCGGGCAATCAAGATCCTGACTACTTGACACCTTCTCACCTGCGAGACTCTGCCAGATTGTTTTCGATCTACACACGGTGAATCTCTTGGCTCCTCACTGCCGAGTTTTTGCTACTTAACTTTTCATTGACATTTTTACTTACCTGCACTCTTTGCTCTCTGGTGATCCCTGCCATCTCCTGTCTGACACCTACTCGCTCCAGCCCTGCTCCAGCCCTGCTCCAGTCTGCATTCCACTTTTTGTAAAATAAATTCTCCTTTTCATTTTTGAATCTGGTCTGCTGTCCATTTTAGGTCCCTCCATTGTTGTGCCACAACACTGTGGCTCTTACATATACAGGGTTCCCACTATTTTTCATTGACAAAGTTTTCCATGATTTTTCATGACCTAAAGTGAATTTTCCATAAATTTACAGCACCTACATGTGGTGAATTGATCAGACTTTTAGGACCAAATATGAAATGTTAACCCTTTCCACTCACCATACGGCTTTATAATTTTGAAACATTCAAAATCCTGTCAGTGCATTTATTGTCGTCTCTTTTAAACAAAAGGTGCAGACGTTCAGAAAATAATCATAATAGCCTCATGAGAACTTAACAGAACGCTGTAGTTGCGTGAAAGAGACACTAAAAATGTGTGACTTTTTCCAAAACCTTTTCAGGCCTGGAAAATGACATGACTTTTCCAGGATTTCCATAACCGTGGGAACTCTGTATATACCAAATTACCCTAAACACGGGCTGAGTTGTGACTGAGCTCCTGTGATTTTCCTTACAGCCTGTGCGCTCCATCTAGCGGCCGTCCTGTCCTCCTCTCGGCCGGTGCTCTCTCCTCTATCACCGCCCGGAGGAGCTGCTGTCTGCCCCGCCGCTGCCGCCTCCACAAACCGCTGGCCGCGCACCGTCCTCGGTCACACACACACACGGCCCACGCACGGCGCTGCCTCCGGTCGGACTTCCTCGGGCTTGACTCCGGGCTACGTTTATTTTTATGGTGCACTACGACTTACGAGTGTCTTTTCGTGAACTTCGCTTAACTTTTACAGTTTTTCTTGGGAACATTTGCCCGACACCTCCTCCAACCTGAAACTTTTCCACATTGTTGTCTCATCTCTCCGGGGGGATATTGTTACTGGCGCGGTCAAACAAAGATGGACTCCCGGGAGATCAGCTAACCGGGCTAAATGTAGTTTTATGCCGTCGTTACAGGTGTTTTTAGACGAGGATTTCGCCTGATAGAACGCTGACAGAATGAACTAAACTTTCTCCGAACTTTCTTCCCCAAGACTCGCCTCGTCATGTCGGGAGTGGTCCGCAGTCTGAGCCGCTGCCTGCTCCCGGCCGAGGCGAGCCAGGAGCCGGGCAGCAGCAAGGAGAGGAGCCGGGAGAGGGACCGGGGGAAGGAGGCGGCCAAGAGGGAGCGGGAGGCGAAGCGGAGGAGCCGGGAGATCGACGCGATGATCGCCCGGGAGAGGAGAGCTGTGCGTCGGCTTGTGAAGATTCTCCTGCTGGGGGCCGGGGAGAGCGGAAAGTCGACTTTTCTCAAACAAATGCGGATCATAAACGGACAAGAGTTTGACCAAAAAGCACTGCTGGATTTCCGGGACACTATTTATGAAAATATACTCAAGGTAAGTTTGATGGTGCAGGCCGTGTTAAAGGGCCCATACTCTCACTCTGTTTGCTCATCTGTGTTACAATGTTTCCTCATCACAAACTGACCTGGACTCTTGTTTTGTTACATTCACACACTTGTAACACACAAAACCTTCACATTTAGGCCGAGTCCTTCTCTCAAACAGTATAAACAGTTCCACTTTGTGATGTCATGTGGCAATACAGGCCGTGCTCCAGTGTGTTTTTAAACTCTGCACAACTTCACTACAATTCCAGGTTTGGATGATTTCAGCCCCGGAACTGATAATCTTTTTTGAACAAAAGGTAAAAGATACCTGTTCATTTGAACTACTGCTTCATGACATCACAAGGTGGAACAGAGTATTTTGTGCTGTGGAGATATAAACAGACTAATAATAAAGAGTTACTCAAACGTGTGAATGAAACAAAACACAACTCCAGGTCTGTTTTTGAGGAGGCAACAACATTATAACATGACTTAAAGCTCACAAGAGTCAAATCATCTGAATGTTTCTAGTGTGTGGAGTTTAAAAACACACTGGAGCACTTCCTGTATTACCACATGACCTCACAATGTGATGTGTAATACAGGTAATACTGAAAAGTGTTTTCAGTTTGAGGGAAGAACTCAGGTTTGTGTGTTAAACATGTGTGAATGAAACAAAACACAACTTCAGATCTGTTTGTGATGAAGAAATACATTAGAACATAGATCTGAAAATAGTGTAATATGGACCCTTTTACAACACTAATATGTGCTGATACTCGTTGTGGACTTTCAGTGTTGTTATGTGGGGCTAGGCCAGTGCTTTATGAGGCTGTGCCCATAAGGACATTTCACTTCATCACACTTTTACTGTAGGCTTTGTCACACAGTTGAAGCTTAGTTCAGGCCTAATGTAACTGGTTTGATCATTTCTTTTTTGGTTTACATTCTTGTTGACCTTTGATGCTGCTGTTTATTGTTAAGTTCATCTCAGTTGTAGACAATGGTGTAATGGTTGCCATATAACTGGAGGGTTGTATGTTGTTACATGTGTTGGCCTCAGAGCAGCTCTGTGGCATCAATAGGAAACACAAAAGTGGACAGTATAATCACATTATAGAATCTGAAAACCACCAATAACCAGGTGTGAAAGGTTTCCTGACCAAAATACTACAGTCAGCCTTTATATGTCCATTAATTTGGATTGGAATACTGCAGTTGACAGGAGGGAAAATGTTTTATTTTATTTTTTAGTTTGCTTTGTTTTTTATTCTAGAATAAGCTTAGTAAGTCAGTATAATATTAAACTTGCATGTCTTTTACTAACAGGCCAAAGAAAAGGCCGTTAAAAATGAATGCATAAAGAAGGCTACAATAATGTTATCATTCATAATCGGCTAATTGGATTGTGATGATTGTATTGTTGTTGATCCAGTAGTGAGGCACAGACACAGAGCTGCTTGTTGACACAGGGCATATTTCTGTCCCAGCGCGTTTGCTCTGTCTTTGTTTTGTACCGTGGCAGGGCCTTCTTCACCAGCAACAATATCCCACTATTCCTGAGGGATGAGCACATCCGACTGAGTGCCAACAGCCCGACCAGGCTGATAAGACTGCTCTGCATACACCAGTGCCAAAACCAGTGCCAAAACCAGTGCCAAAACCAGTGCCAAAACCAGTGCCAAACCAAAACCAGTGCCAAACCAGTGCTACACCAGTACACTAGAACTGCTCCATTTTGGAAAAATAGCAAATTTAGATTTTTCTGACATTTCAAACATTTATTTTGTGATTAGATTTGGTATTTCTATGTTTTAATAATAGGATTCTGTTTAAGTTTTACATTTTAAAAGCATCCATGAGAATTGAAAAAAGTATAAACTATGACAAGAATTACATTTCAGAACAGATTTAAACTACAGGGTTTAGTAGTTTGTCAAAGCTTGTCAAAGCATTTCATCCAGATTGGCTAGTATGAAAGTGGTGTGTGTGTGAGTGTTGGTGGTCGTCAGAGGAGCTGATGGCGCAGACTGGCAGTCTCGCTTCTGTCAATCTGCCCCAGGGCTGCTGTGGCTACTATAGTACTATAGTAATAGTACTATCACCTCCACTGAGTGTGGAGTGGGTGAATAATGCTCTGTAAAGCACTGGGTGTCTTGAAAAGTTTTCTCTCTCTCTCTCACTCTCTCTCTCTCAAAATTTATTTTTGCTTCAAATTTTACAAAGTACTGAAAATGGTCAAAACAAAAATTGTTCTAGTTAAAGATGCAGTGCAGTAAATGTTCAGCACATGTAGGTTAAAGAGATCATTTTAGTTGTGAAGTGTGAAATTGAAGTGGCCTAAACACAGTATATGTACTGACAAGTGATCAGTGTGAGGGAAATAAAATCCATTTTCTTCCAGACAAATCAACATGAACTTAAAATTTGATTCATTGATCTAAATTATGATTTTTGTTTATGGAAGAAATTGTGGTACTAATTATGGTAAAAATGTCAGCCTTTGCATTTATTCAAATTATGATTTCAATTAGATTATAATCAATCTTACAAACCTAATTCAAACTGACTGTATTGCTTCTTGCCAGGCATACAATATTGTGACTCAAAACATCAACTCAAAAATGCATCAATCAGATTTGTTATTACATTTTGTACTTGGTTTAGTCTCGCAGGATAAGCCAAAACAAACTGTGGCAAATGATTTCTATAATTTAAAGCAGCTGAAAACATAAAAAAATAAATCGCACAAATGAATGTTTGAGGAAAATAATCATTACTAATTGAAAAACAAAACAAAATGGCATGCAGTTCATAATTCAACAAAGAAATAATTCCTTTAAAGTGTCACAACATTCAAGTTTTTATAGTTAGTTAATTTGGTCGTGACGGTCCAGGAGACAGATAGTAGTTTCATAGCCAGGCTGGCGATGATTTCATTTTTCTCCAGGGACGACAATTTGCAAGAACTCCGGAAGTTGTAGATCGTGCAGTGGCCAATCAGCGAAGAACTTTGAAGCCATGACGTCAAAATCAAGCGCCTGTCTGGGTCCCTTTTGTGGAACAGCACAACAGTAAACAAAGCGGTCGAGACGGATGTAGCTGAAGACAAACATTCAGTGTTGTCAACGATTCCCAAGATCGAGGATTTAAAGCCGAAACTAAGAGAATGTTTGGTGAATTTTATCAAAGGGAAAGACGTTATTGTCCTTCTTCCTACAGGATTTGGGAAAAGCTTAATACACCAGTTAGCCCCGTCAGTGGTGCATTACATACGTCACAACCAAATAGCAGAGATTGGTTAAATAAAAAAGTACCCACCTATCGTCCAGAGAACGAATCCTAATGCTGCGAGGTCAGACTGTTTCCACCAAGCTGATGAATCAAGCTACTAGTTTCCATCCATTGTCCCAGATTCACTCTTACAATGCAGGTGAAGTGTCTTGCCAAAGGACACAACAACAGCACACCTCCAAGCCTCGTCCTTCTCCCTTCCCAGTACCAAACAGGTCCGATCTTGCTTAGCTTGAAAAACATACTTTTTCAGTTTTTCTTTTTTTTCTTATTTACATTGTAGATTCGCAGTGAAAGCATCAAACTATGAATGGACAAGAGACAAAAAATAAACTCAAAATTCATATTTTTTAATGGTCACCCTTTGCTTTGATCAGTGCTTTGTACGCGCTGCGGTCCTTGACCCTGACACACCCATTTCAGGAGACTTTGCAGAGGTTTGTGGCGCTGTCAACAAAGCGAAGGGTGGATACTTTTGAATTGAAAATCTAAAAATATATATATTTAGTCAAGTTATTTAAAGGTGCACTATGTAACTTTTTGGTTAGGAGTCCGTCACCTGCTTGTTTCTGTACATATGTCATTGCTCTGCCTGGAATGTTCCACAGTGTGACATTAAACGGCTCTTCTTTAGGTGGGTTTATAGCTTAAAAATACCTCGAAAAACAACATTCTAACTGTGAGCGGGGTCGCCTCTCCACAGATCTGACCTGTCACTTGGTCTGGTTTGGTCTCCATGAAGACAAAAAGGTTAAATACCATGCTGAGAAACATTGAGATGAAGCAATAACACCTCCATGGAGAAAAGCGTTTTGACGGACCCTCAACCAGAGACGTTACACAATGCACCTTTAACGTTTTCTTCTCTACTTCTCTACATCTTGCATTGTATTTGACGTCTTCTGTGTCTGAAATGTAGAAAGTAGTAAACAAAGAAAAAAACTGAATGAGAAGACGTGTCCAAACTTTTGACTGGTAGAGTACACACACACGGGCTATAACATCACATCATATTAACCTTGTATTCTTCATCAGACGCACACAGTAAATATGTTTTCTTTCCCAAGGTCTGAAAGGAACATTACTGGCAACAAATGTCAAATTCCGATCTCCGTCCTGTGTATCACTTGTCAATGTGTAGAAAATGTACTACCAGCACAGTTCAAGGTAAAATACTTCGACCAGACATCTGATTTATTCTCCTTACTCTTACTGCCAGCACTTAGGGTGGTCAGAAGTATCGAAAAGTATCAGACACGAGTCAATGCTAAAACTAGTATCGAAACTAGATACTCATTTAAGTATCAAGTAGCAAGTATCAATACTGACAAAAAATCACATAACTGGATAAAATATGATCTTTCCGGAGCAGTTCCATCTTGAGTTTTATAAGGACTTTTTTAGGGATGGGACAAGAACTAATGCCACAAGATCTCGCAAGACAAAAATTGCCACGAGAAAATGATCTTGTGAGATTTTTTTTACAATTTGGATTGAATAAAAAAATGGAGATAAGTACTGGTGCAGACTTGCATGTTTTGAGAAGTTGTAGTCCCAAAAAGCACTGCTACAATGACCGCAAAAATATTAAATAAAGTCAATTGGGAACTGGATTGTGTAATTTATTGTCAAAATCTTGTGTTGTCTCGTTCTTGTAGTTCCAATCTTGTCTTGTCTCATATTGTGGAAACTGTATCTCGTCCCATTCCTATT